AATGATTCCTTGCACTAGTGCAAGCAAGTAACCCTACAGGCGGGAAAAAGTGGATCCCACAGGAAAGACTGATGTGATGTCGTTCACTGGCAGGCCAGGGTCTATCGATTTTCTTGAAATGATTCCTTGCACTAGTGCAAGCAAGAAACCCTACGGGCGGGAAAAAGTGGATCCCACAGGAAAGACTGATGTGATGTCGTTCACTGGCAGGCCAGGGTCTATCGATTTTCTTAAAATAATTCCTTGCACTAGTGCAAGCAAGTAACCCTACGGGCGGGAAAAAGTGAATCCCACAGGAAAGACTGATGTGATGTCGATCACTGGCAGGCCAGTGTCCATCAATTTTCCTAAAATGTTTCCTTGCACTAGTGCAAGCAAGTAACCCTACAGGCGGGAAAGAGTGGATCCTACAGGAAAGACTGATGTGATGTCGTTCACTGGCAGGCCAGTGCCCATCAATTTTCCTAAACTGTTTCCTTGCACTAGTGCAAGCAAGTAACCCTGCAGGCGGGAAAGAGTGGATCCCACAGGAAAGACTGATGTGATGTCGTTCATTGTTGCGTCAAATTTCTCTGTCTTTACGTTGAGCTTTTAAACCAAATATCGAAATACGTTAATCTCTGTAACTGTAATGTTAATAATTGTTTTAAAAAAACGAACATAGAATATAGAAATAGTTTTATGAAACTACTGTCCTCCCTTTTTGGTCGAGACAAAGTAACAGTTGGTCAGTAAGACTGGCACAAATTTATATATTGTCATTAATATAAAAAAAAAAAAAAAATTGCAATTACATAATAATTTATAAGTTTCCGAATGCACTCAATTAATAAAAGAATTCCTTTCTCGAAGTAAATACAATTTGATTATTGTTACCTTTGACATAACCTTAATATAGCATATATTAGGTTAAAGATATTGATTGTGTCCTGTGTGTTAATAGATCTCGATGCCGTTTCATACACTTTCCTTAATTACAATCATGTGCTTTTCTTCTCCTTCTCCTGTGCCATATTATTCCCTTCCTTAAAATGGACAAAGTTGAATTCATTCATTTTAGTTGTGTGATGAAATCACTATTCGGATAAAGGTCAATAAAACGTTTTAAGTAAATTTCTTTTAATCTTTAAGTCAGAGATTTGCAAACAGTTTCTTGTCTAGACTGTTACATTGCACGCAGTTACTTGAATATTGAAAATTATTAACATCATCAATATGTACTGACTTTTAGTCCATTTTCCCTTTTTGCTTAGGCAGAAGAAGGGCTTGAAATGATAGATGAGTAAATTACTTGTTTTCACAGAGGCCTTAGTGTGAAGACATATCGCGACCTGGCGACAGATGGGACAACCATTGCACGCATCAATTGCCCCATTTATGACCTTGATATCAGTCGAATAGGTATCTTTAAGATCATGAAAATGTGCATAGGAAACGAAGGGCAGAGACAGAGTGCAAAGATTCAAATGATTTCATATCAACTGAGCATTAACTTTGTTAGACGCATATTGTCACACACACACACACACACACACACACACACACACAAATATAACCGCAATTAACAAAACCTGAATGAAATGAATGCAGCAAAGCGGCATTCGAAGTGACCTCAATGATTACAGATTCATTCTCCTTTGAATTTGAATTAGGTTCAAAGAGATTGCTTCCTCAAGTAAAGATTCAGATGAAAAATTGTGTGCTCATTATTTGAGGATCTATGGTGTCTAAAATTTCTTTTGGCAAAGCAATATCCATTAGAATATTAAATGCATATGCAAACGGACATATGCTCTCCAAATCGGACTACAGACGCACACATATATATTCATTTGGCAATAATATGATTAAGTCTGCGCCCGAAAAAATTTGCCACAAATAATAACATTAAAATAATTTGAGAATAAGTAGGAGAACACAAGAATAAGGTAAATGGTATAGGGAGGGGTGCGATGGGGGAAGTAGAGGAGTGTTTGCATACTTGAAAAATAGCTATATGTATATGAAAACTTTGCTCCAAAATTGACTTTATACCTACAATTTGGAAAAGTATAAAAGCTAACAAAAAGAAACGTTCACATAAAACTACCACGCAGTAAAAGTAGAGATAAAACAAAAAAAAAAAAAAAAAAAAAAAAGGCAAAAAGAGAAAAAAATGTAATGCTACCAATCGTCCTGTATGAGTATATATATATATATGAATATATAAAAAGGAGATTTGAGTATAAAATTGGGAGGCAAGTTGCAACTTCCGTTATCGATCCAATAAGAAGACACTTTGGGGGCATATAAAGTTTCTTAGCCACAAACAATCATACATACGTGAACGAAAGTGAACAGAGTTAACATTATTTGCCCAATGTTCCGCATACGTACGTAAGATAGAATTTCAATTGTATACACAACTAACTGTGTGTAGCCGCAGCAAGTCACATATATATATATATGTATATATATATATACATTTTATACACACATAGGCACACACACAGGCACACACACCTAAAGCAATTTCATTTTTAGAAAACTACCTCAATAACTTCCGCAAGCAACCGCTTTCTTTAAGAACATCAACATCGACAAACGGTAACAGCAAAACCGTATAGCAATAACACTCATTGGCACCCACATTTGGTGCACAAGACGAACTGTAAAAAAACAAAAAAAAAAAATTGAAGTTTGTTTTCTACAACAATAACCATTGTTAAGTTTTTGTTTCGGAAAGTTCTCGTATGCTGCTCTTTTCGATTATTTTAATAGTATACTTGAGAATTTTAATTATGCCTTCTAATGGTGTATAATGGCCAGCTATAGTGGTATTTAAGAATTTCATAAAGAGAGAAAGGGCAATGAAAAAATCAGCTTGTAAAGAAAACTTTTGCAAAAATTGTCTTTAAATGTTCACTTCGTGAGTTTAACAACAAATTTTTACACTTATTCCCCTAACGGTTGTGGTCATACTGACTTCATCATGTATTATATTCATCATTCACAAAACGATCTCGTTTTTTTTTGTTTTTTCTTTTTGTTCATAAACAAGATTGATATTGTAAATTTTAATAAAGGTCCGATCCCCGTGCTCTCGATCTTATCACTAAAGTACGCTAAGGTGAAAAATTCAAGTTTGGACAAGATATTGAGTTTATTTATGGTGTAAAAAGGTCTAAATTAGATACTAGAAATTTTGATCACACGCTTTCCATTCGTTATGGATATTAAATGATTACAACAACAGATCTGATATATTTTTACACAGGGAATTAAAATTCTGATATCGATAGCATTGGCTTCTAAGCGACGAAGAGAAATCCAAAACAAAAATGATATTCTTTCTATTATGCTTTCTTAGCAAACCCTATATATACATTTATACATATATGCATAGCTTTAGCATTACTAAGCTCAATCCATTATAACTCAGTTAGTAGTCAGTTATCAGTAGTACTCAGTTATTAAGTATCAAAATATTCATCTTAAGCTAAATTAGTTTTTCTCGCTATTCTCGAATTTACTTTCTCTCATTTTCGCAAAACAATCTCGCCTTCACCTGCTTGCTGGTTGGTAATAATGATATTTTTTTGAACTTAAAAGTTTTCCTTCTTTATTTTTTTTTACCAGTTTTTTAATCAATGGCTTTGAAGGCGATTTTAACACCGAAAATAGTCTAAAGTTTGTTCAAAATTTGTTATTTCACTTCAAAATGACTTAATTAATCTTTTAACAGGCGCAATTATATATATAAATAATATATATGTAGATTTAATATTTTTCAAACAGATTCAATATTAGCGCTTAAAAGGACAAAAGCATTTCTGGGATTTCATTTTGAAGGATGAAGCGAAAATTTTCCCTTCCTCCCTTCCTCCCTCCCCCCCCCTTTCAACCCTTTCCCATTCCATTCTTTACGCTTCTTTTCAGGTTATTATAATATAACACTGTATGCAACTTTTATTATAATGGTCGGTACACTATTTATTTCGTAATTTTTGACTTGATGGACTTAGCTTAGCTTAACACCCTACAAATTATTCTATACAGTTATCTTTCGGTTTTCCAATGTTCGGCGCATTCCTCATGTCATCACCAAAACACATCTGTGCTCACAACTCGCGGAATATTATTTTCTTCACTTTTCTTAATTATCCTCCCTGGAGTGCCCTCCTTTTTGTACACATATCGACCGTTACCCTTGGGTAACGCAATCTCTTGATCACTAATTTGTTGATTTTTTTTTTTTTTTTTTTTTAATTAAACCATTACGCTATCGCTGAAGCATTGCTGCGTTTCCCGAAAAAAAGAAAACCGAATCGTCTGATTCCTATAGCATCACTTTGAAGCCAACTCTACATCATTGAGAAGATGAGTAGAGATAAGAGCAAAACAAAGGTGCCTGGCTTTGGACTACACGATAGATGCACCAAAACTTTCCAATCAAAGTCTATCAAATTGTTCCCCGTCACCAAATGTGTACGTCATCTGGCATTATTGCTTTAAATGAGGATCAACTCTAGACGCTTTGCCTGAATTATGCTCGCATTAGTTGTTGAGTGGAAAAAATGAAATCCATCGTTCGAATATATAGGAACACGTCACGATCGACTTGCAATCACGTTCAAGACAAGGCATGAACTTGCATAACGATGATGTTAATGCTTCTCTTCACTGGTTGCAAATTGTTTCAAAAGTCTTTCATTTCACTATTAATGCATCGCAATGCCGAGTTTCTTTTTATGTTCAGCTCTGCGTCAAGTGATTTTTGAGTAATATTTCCATTTGGTCGACCAGAGCGCGACCCACCTGTAACATAGACATTTTCTTTGTAAAATTTTCACCAGACATACAATGAATTTTTTCGCCATCTTGTTAAGCGTTATCTTCCTTCTCAAAATGTTTTTGGCGCCATTTATGTAGAATTTTTTTCTCATTTTCAAAACGCAGTTATTTTCGGCTGAATTAAGAAATGCGATGTTTTTTTTCTTTTCTCTAATTTAGTTTCCTAAAATTTTCCAAATTTAGGTAAGGCGACTTTAAAATCTTCTATCTGGATATTACCTATTGTTAGGTAGTCGAAAAAATATTAAGCGGAACAATAGAATCGTTCGTATAGACAGGCCTTCGAAAAGCCAAATCGAACGCATGACTTTCAGTTTACTACGAGAACGCAATTACTTCGAAATCCACTAATATTTGCCTGTGTGCTGATCTAATGGTATCCGTCCATACCACTAGAGTTCCCACAATTATTTAAATCGATTTAGGCTTGTAAGTGATTGCATTCATTTTGCAAATTAAACTTGGAAAGGAAAACACAAAAAAAAAAAAAAAGAAAACAAAAGAAAACCTTGAATAATATAAATACTCAATGTGTACAATTTTCAAAAATAATTTACAATTTATAGAAGAAATATTTGGGACCATTTCAGTGAAGAGAATGACAACTATCCTGATTGACCAATTTAGATATAACAGCCTTAACAGAAACGTTATTTAAGTTATTAAAGATTCGATCCGAAGAGATTATATAATTCTCTTTGTTCATTTGCTATCAATATGTGGAATGGGAAGACTAATATGCGCAATATTTGCCGAAGTGAACATAACAAAACACTAATTTTCTGCTTGATTGACTCCAATATATAATAACTGCACTCTTTACGTACGACGTTTAGTGTGCGGTTATGGTCAACCATTCTCTTCATCAATTTGTCAACATTGAGGTTTAACATGTTTGTTCACTGAACCAGAAATAACACACACAAGCGGTACGCCTCGATTGGTGAACATAGCGCTTAAAAATGTATGGTTTAATAGAATCGTCTATGCTTTTCCCAAAATACATCAATTAGACTTTTAAAGAAGAGCAAAAGCATTCCATCAAAAGCGGAAACAACAAAAAAAAAAACAAAAAAAAAAAAAAAAAGAGACATAAACTAAGAAGCGACTACGCATTTATTCAATTAACATCCGTTCAGATAATATGAAATTTCACGTTAATTGAATGTTTCCAATAAATTCCGCTCTTAATTAGTATTTAATTATTTTATTCTCATTGTTACTTGCAAGTAATAATTCTCTTTATTAACTTTTATTAATAATTTAACTGGATTTGTTTTTTTCCCATTATATATTATTCGCTCTTGAATATGCATAGCATGTTCATAGGCGTCATTCTGCATTCTACAGTGGAATATATATAAATACATATATATATATATATATATTTATATTCATTCTTGCTTTCTTATCATCTGAATGTCACACGTAGTAAAAGCTCTCTTCTGATATGTACACACCCTTGCATATTTTTTCCTGACTTAATACAAACGATATATAGTTGAGGTTGACCATCCAGTCAACCAGTCATTCAAATATATTTCTCCTGCGTCTTTCATATTTCTTTTTATTGTCGATATTACGGTACACTGTTGTGTTATGAAAATGGAATATACCGTCAGTACTTTATTGAAGGCTGACAGGTACTTAAGACCGAAACCAAAAGACAATGACGCACTAGTCTAACAAAGAAAAAAAAAAAAAAAATAAAGAACAGAAAAAAATTTATGTGATTTTAAAGAGAAAAAAAACCAACGGACAAACCGAAGTCCTAACTTCGCTCACAATTTATATAAGCCATGCATGCTAGAAACTTCAGTTTTGTTCGCCTTCTTCATGACGTATATGTGCAATACAATACTGGCGGTATCTAAGTTCGCTACAACAATAAAACACAAATGCTCGGTACACAAATCATCACAATAACATTATGCACTAATGTATTGAATGACTTCTATACTACCATAAGTACTAGTGTTGAAGTTCGTTTTGCTAGATGAGTAAAAGATATTGAGTTTATTTATTTGTTTAGAACAAGAGACGATGACGTTCACTATGTCGGCCTAATGCATGCAAATCTCCTTTGTCGATTGTTGTCGTGTTGCCTGACCAATACCATTTCTATGTTGAACAAGTTTCTATTCAATATTTTACATAGCATTAAGGTCACTTGCAAGTTATTCTTGAAATCATCAATTTGGAATAGATAACTTAAGGTTAGACTTTAAAGGTAAATTTTTGCAACTATTACCATCTCAGTAACTGATGATAAACATATGCACAGGGTCGCTTAGCAAATTCAACTCAGAATGTTGCACTAATCATGTTGGTAGACTCTCTGCAGCGTCCTTCCAGGAGTTATCAGCTAAAAGCGCAAAAGCAATATAAACTGTGCATCTAGAAATAATTCGGAAGTCATTTATTCAAATGGTGTAAGTTCTTATCATTTTCTATAGAATAATTCGAATATATTTCAGGGATAGAAAATTGACATAAGTACAGTTGGACATTATTCCTTTCGATTCCTTCTTTCATTCCTATGAAGATACCCAAATATGAGTTCTTTCGTGACTAGCCTCAAGAGAGGAGTTTTCCGTTCCGCACTTACTTGATTTTCTGCATAAAAAATGAGAGAAGTAATTTGTTTTTTTTTTCGGGGACAGTCAGAAAGAAGATTAGAAAAGAGCAAGAAATAGGTAAGCGATTGCCGCAATCCAATCGATAAATGTTATGCACCTTAAACGACTAAGCACTCACTATAGCTAAGAAAACTCTACCGCACTTGAGATTTGAACTCGCAAACGCCTACACGACT